GGCTGAAAATCCAAACATAAAACAAATCGCAATTGATACTGTTCATTTTGAACGTTATGATCTTGGCGAAAACGGTGCTTTTGTATGCTCCGGGGCGGGGGCGGGGTGTTTAACTGTGTTTAAAGGGATGCCGACGGCATAGTCAATCGATTACGCGCTGAAAAGAAAATGCTCTGCGCCTCTCCCCTGGGCGCGCCTTCCCTGTTGGCTACTTGTCAATTTGTTGATGAGGGGGGATCGACACATGCCGTCGGCAGCCCTTTAATATTCTTAGGCGGAAGAAATTCCCAAATTTTCATTAACGAACTATAAAAGACCAGCCGCTTACAGCGGCTTTGCCGCTGCGGCGGACTTCGGGCTACCCTCCGCTCCTCCCCTCCTTTGTGATGGCCTTAGATACTTTAAAGGATTTAAATAATGAATTAAGATAATTAAAAAGTATTAAAACAACTGAAAAAGCGATCTGGGCGCGGAAAGGGCTTGGGGACAGGGCGGGGAAAGGGGGCGTGGCCTCCCGGGAGAGGGCCCCACTCGTTTTAATGGAGGCGCCACTTTCAAAGTTCATTATTTTTATTTAAACAAAAACTTTTTCATAATTTCTTGATTATTTAAGGGTTTCTGACTACGCTCTATCCAAATCCGAAGAGACCTAAGCTCTACCTCCTTTCCCCTTCGAGTTATAGTTGGCTTCTGACGGACGGACGGACAGACACCACTACTGAATCCTTATAGTTGATAGCTCTTTTTAACCAAAATGGCCGCTTTTTCATGTCGCTTAGATATTGTTTTTACCTAAATCTAGCTAAGCTTGTACCAAAAATTTTATTAGCATACATACTATTACGGCCCTATTCACTCCCACCCCTTCGATAATGCCAAAGAACCAAAAAAAACTTACCATTTTGACTTCCACCCAGATAAAATTCCAGTACTTCGATGTCGGACTCGGTGGCCAAGATGAGATGTCCCTTCGAGTGCATTCGATAGCCCTCCTGCTCTCGGTGAGACTGGAAACCACATTATGTCAACCAAAAAGGTAGCATAAATCTCCTATGCTCCCTCCTGCCTCACCCCACTCGCCGCCCATTTTTTTTGCATCAGCATTTCCGATTGGCTAGTTGCCAATTACCGTATACCCCCCCCAATTGTTTTCCAAAGTTGCTGGTAAGAAGTAAAATGCCAAAAACGCTTCTGCGTGAGTGTCGTACTTTGGTCCTGAGTGGTTGTGAGCAGTTTGAACTGCTAGAAATCGTTGTAATTGCTAAAATTCACGAAAAATATATCCCTCCCTCTAATACAACGCCTCCCCCTGACGTGATTGAATAAAATTATAACCCCCGGGGTTATATTAGGGGAAAACCTGGTCAAAAAACGAAAGGTTAACCGCCAACAAGTGCCACAAAAGTTATTTTATTGCGAAAAAACGTTAAATATTGGAGTAAAACCGAAAAATTTTGAGGCGAAACGACATTTTGCGTGCGCGGCGATTAATGCCATGTCGTAATGCCATGTAAGATTCTCTGGTCGATTTTCATAATTAAACAGTCTAGAAGCATCAAAATTCGGCGAGCATTCCAGAAATAACGTCAGAATCTTTAAATTCAAGCGTTTTCACGTCCAAACAGCAAAAAAAAGATCATGCGGCGCGGTCGCGTTGCTCTGGCATCCAGCTATTTGCTGGGAATCAGCGCAGGGGCCGTGTACCAGATTTCGGAGCCCTTTAACAAACTTCCCCGAAACCACCATATCTGCATAACCAACGGAGCAAACGCCACGTCCACACACGGTCTTCGGGGGTAATGCTCGTTAACGATGGTTAGGGTTTCTAAATCATTAAAATAAAAACGTATGCGCAACTCGTACCCAAGTCCGCTTGATACACCATCAGCGTCATGGCCGACCCGATGGCGACAATCTGAATTTGAACTTTTAAACTGAAGACCTTTTGGCGCATAAAATGATTTCAACGTTTTGAGAATGATAATCGTGATCTTGTACTGGGACCAGGCCTCACTTCTGCGGGATTTTGCACTGATCCTGAATCTGTGCTCAAATTTGCTTATTCGGAATTTCTAGGAGTGGCCAGCCCAATTTACGGGCGAAACAGAACAAAATCTATTTGGGTTGGACCCACCCACATAATTCCAAGATAAAAGATTGTACTCACAATAACTAGCGCTTTTTGAGCGAAAAAAAGGTTTTTTTTTTGGGTTGGTTACCCGTGAAAATTCCGAAATATCCTACTATATATAAAAAAATAGTGTATGTGTGTGTGTGACACTTTGCATACACTTCCGTCAGTATGTCCGGAGGATAACTCAATAAGGACGGGGTTTTAAAGCGTGTATGATACGTCATTAGGTGCGTAATGGCCCTGAGATGACTGCACACCTATTAGAATCATAAAAATAAGCTATTTTCAACATTAAAATAGGGTTTTTGTTAAGTTTTTGACCAATCTCTTTGTTAGGAACGAATTAGCATATGCCGGAAGTAGAAAAAGCCTATAAAAAGGGCTGGCACGGGTTTTCATTTTTCTCCGTTGATTGAGGCGGAATTATGCAAAGTTTACAATCTTATTGGGCCCAGACGGGGCCAGGGTTGAAAAGTCGCGAAGCGGCTTTTCAACCCTGGTTATCGTTAGATTTGTTTTTTAGACGATGCGCCGGGACGCACCGTTGGAAAAACGGTTTTCTTTGGAAAACTTTGCGTTCCAGAACCCATTCAAAAGCTAATCTTTTCCTGCGCCGGGCACCCCATTCATTTGAATTAGAAATTTTTACTAAAGGTTTTTCTAGAAAAAAAATGGAAATGACTCTAAAATCAAGCTAACTCCTGAAAATAACTTGTCCAGAAATTATTCCGAATGCCCCGACGGTACCACTTTTGCGTGAGCGCTCAGATTTCTAAGCTTACCAGGCTCATCCCCATCTTGTCTAATGGAAACGCGACAACCTTCGCGATGTTATGGTTGATGGGTGACCGCTCGAGGAGGGTCATTTCCGTTGCGCGAAGCCGTTGACAGAACTAACAGAATAATTTTGATTCATAAAAAAACAGATTCCGCGATAAACAAAAGAAAATCCTACATTGTCTCCATATCGGCGGCCCTCGACGTGGATCAAGTAGGAATCCGAATTGAAAGGATCTTTTACACTAAAAAACAAACAGTACACAGGGTGTCCAAAAAAAATCGCGCCCCTCTAGCGGTCCGGAGTAAGATCAGATCGGGAGGACACCATTCGAAAACCCTCAAAGAAGTAAAAGACAAGTTGATTCTGGTTTTACAAAATTTTTTAGCTTGCCCTGAATCCTAATCAATTTTGTTTTGAAAAGTTTAAATTCAACGTCGTCCTGTTAGCTTGAGCAACCAATTTGCATGCGGATTTTGCATAAAATTGCACTTTTCATTGAGCTTAGCCCCAAATTTAGTGAACCAAAATGCCCATATTGAGCAACGAAAAGTGCTTGTTTTCTTGTACCCATTGGTCAAAACCACACTTTTCTGCTGCCCGCTAGAGCGGCAGGCGCAGTACTTACAATCCATAGTAGCTGTTGGGTAAGGCGGCCACGGCGCTCAGATCCTGAACGCCGACCATTGTCACGATACTGCAGTCCTCCAAATTGTAAAGCATCGGTGATAGGATCTGGTAAAATAAAGAATTTGCTCAGCTTTCGGCTCAATGTATTCATCCTCCTAAGCCTAGGCTTAAACTTACAAGGAGACGTTTTTTAGTGTGAATGGAGTTTTAAGTTGAAACCAGGCCTATTCTGTGCAGAATTTTACGCTGATTCCGATGCTGTTTTGCAAATTTGCTAAATAGCTCGATTTAAAAAGTTACAGCTATTTTAAGATAATTTTTAGGCCCAGAGTAGCCATATGCTATGCTGTGCTACTTTTTTGTTATAACGTTTTAATTTTGTTTAAATAGCCTAACTTGTAGAGAATTTTTTCTGATTCGAATGGTATATTTAATTAGTGCGCTACTGCCGATCAACGATGGCTTACAGGGGTGAGAAATAGGCTGTTTTTCACCATTTCCCATACAAAAATCGCAGCCCATACCAAGTATCGTCGATTTTTTCGATTTTTAACAATTTTGAGTTAAATAGCTCATTCGATAGAAAAAATTTTTCTGAATACGGTGACGATATTTATTTTTGGAAAAACAGCCGGGAAAAGCAATATAATGGTCCCTAAACAGGGGAAAATTTGGGCTAAAATGATCTTAAAATTGCTATAACTTTTGAAATCGAGCTATTTAGCAGAAATCGAAAACATATTCGGAATCAGCGCAAAATTTTGCACAAAATAGGCCTGTTTTCCACTTAGAACTCCATTCACACCAAAAAACGTCTCCTCATCCGTCAAACAAAAAGTTGTTAGTCTAAACCTAGCCTAGGCAGATACCTAAGCCAAGCGGAAGCTAAGCCTAAGCGAAGCCTAAGCGAAGCCTAAGCTAAGCTTAAGCTAAGTTTAAGCTAAGCCTATGCACTGTGTATGAGTCTGGTATAATTACGTTAAATACCTTATTTCCGTCCAGACCCGTCCTCTCCGCAAATCCGAAGACCTAAATTGCAAATTGAACATACATAACTGGTTGACTCACCTGTGTCGTCCCATCCCACAATTTCCGGAATGAACGTGCCACCGCCATCCCCGGAATGCTTCTCCATCGCAGCGGAAGGGCGCCATTTTTCGCTAAAAAGCATTGATCAGATTGTTTTTGGAGTTAATTGAGTTAAAATAGTTATGTTAGGAAAATTTAGAGCGCAGGTGATCACATACCGGGCGACACCAGTCCCCATTTGTAGTACATTACATATGCACACTCCAGCAGCACCAAAAATTCTCGATCGTTCGGCACGGTGAAGTCGATGATTTTCCGATTGCGCTCGTTGTCGGAGGGAATGGGGATTCGTGGGCTGCATACGAGCCTACAATAGATTGATTATACTAATGGTTCAAACAACGTGCGTGCTACCATATTCTTAAGAAAACATTCAAGTTTTTAAAGTTATTTTCAAGCTTTTCGATGATAGCCATACCTTTCGTTAATTATCGGGATCCAACGGTCGGCGCTCAAGCATTGATAATTACCTTCGATCATCTCCATCAACAAGTAGTGGCTAGCAACTCGTGTTTAAAACCATGAAAAGTGATACTTGGTGACAATCATGACATGGTGCGTCGTCGCGGTCAGCAAGATCCCAGCCTTCACCATTTTCAACTCGGATAGCCTTAAAAATCTGTCGGTAAGAATATTAGGGGATGGGGAACTACTTTTTTTGCGGCACAGGCCTAAATTTTTTATCAATCGCGGATGCGTTGCGAAATGGTTTTTAACTATTCCTGAGCATAAAACTACACACATTCTAATTAAAAAAAATTAATTTTAGGTCGAAAAATCCTATAGAACCCTTTAGGATTCGCGCGGGGGGAAGGCCCAAAATGACCAAATTTTCGACTTTTCAAACATTTTCTAACTTTTTTTTTGAAAGTTTTTTTACTTTAAATATAGTTTAAATTTACTAAAAACAATATAAAAACACTATATATTCGATTACTAGGCCAGCCGGGACGGCCAGGAAAAAAATTGGTTCTCCCACCGCGGAAATCCTCCCCTCCCCATCCCCTGAAATCCTAAAGGACCATGAAATAAAATAATGGGGGTGCTGAAAGTTTCTATGATAATAAAATCAGTTTCAAAGATGGTTTTGTTCTGGTTTCAATGGTTCTTAGCATATTTTTCGTCCACTACCAAATCGCCTATTCAAAACATAAAAAATAGTGAAAATGTCGAGAATCCCCTTGCATATACGGTGTTAAAATTTTATTTTCGAATGTATTTTTTTAACGCTCCATCGAATGGCACACGCAAAATCGCGCCGCGCAGTCAAAGCTTTGAAATAACGAGTGCCCTCCGTGATTCCATGTGTATCAAGATCGTAACCGTAAACTTGCCTTGAAAGCATTTGATCGGGGGCCCCTCTGAAGGTGTTTAGCAGCCGTCCACCCGGACTCGACTCGCTCCGATCAAGGTAGCACCGTCCCTCCGTAAAAATCTTAAGAGCGGGACCCGGAAAATACTCGCACAAACTTACCTTAACCTCACCGAGCCGGAAGTTGGTGACGATATAGATAAAACCCTTCTCGTATTTTCTGCTGAAGTTGGCATTTAAAAATCTTCTGCATCACGCGACCCACCGGCTTCTTGGATCTGTCGAGCCCCAGAAATAGGGCGTATTGTAGAATAGCTCCGGGTCATAGGAATTGAGATGATGATGATCCTCGATGCTGGAATGCCAGTTACGCTGCTGTATCAAAATTTAATTGAAATCGATGGATTAGATGGGTTTTTCAGGCGCAAGTGGCGCCCCAACGCCATATCCGCGGTCCTTTTAAAAAGTTTTAACTTTTAAGAGCGGTGAACTCACAATCACCCTCCGTATTCACTTCCTCAGCGACGTATTGCACCTCATCTTCTACTTTGTCGTCTGCCATCAGCACCAGCATGTACCGGTCCATCTCAGGATTCCCATCCAGAAATGACCGATAGCGCCCTGCGGGCAGGTCACGCCGGTCCTTCGGCTCGTCATGACCGCGTTCCCAACGATGGAATTTGATGAGATTTCTAAGCAAAGGTGAATTTGGTTTGCAAACCAATCGGGGCGTCGAATTCAAGGCATAAAAAACCAACCCACGTCGCAGCCTCACCCGCCAGGCTGCACTCGAACTGGCGTAAACCTACACGGAAAGGAATTACCTACATAATGCCAATTGACAAAGACAAAAAACAAACAAAAAGACTCAAAAAATGCCGGTTTTACATAATACCGATTTACAGAATGCCGAGTTTCATAATATGGATTTTACCTGACCCCGATTCTTAGGATGCTGGTCGTTATAACGCCGATTTTCATAATGCCGATTTTGCCACTTTCCAGAGCGTGCTAAGCCATTCCCCCCAATAAATCCTATTTTTTGATCAATCTTCTCAGGTTATCCGGATGCTAAGTTTCTAGTCATTTTTTTCTAGAAAACAACTTTAATATACATAAATCATTTCTCAATTTTTTAAGATAGATCTGAAAGTTTGGAAGAAAGGTAATTTTTTTGCAATGACTCGAGATATTGGCTAATCGAAAAACATTGCGTGTCCCCCTGATCAAAAAGGCAAAGGCTAGGAAAAACATACCAAACAAAATCAGCATTTTGCAAAACGGCACCTTATGAATCGGCATCTTATGAATCGGTTAGGTTAGGTAAAATCAACATTTCATAATCGGCATTATGAAAATCAGCATTGTGTAAAACGGCAAAATGTTTTAATTCAAGAATCCGTTTTTAGTCGGAAATTTCAAAACAACCCACCTGTTGACGGTCATCTTCCCGCAGCGCCGACAGGTTTTGTTCCTTGTATTCGCCAATCTTAAAGTTTTGAATCGGCATTCCCATGTCGAGCCGCACGATCCCTTTAGCTCCAGCAACCATCTAAAGGCAACCTTTTATTATCTTGCAAAATCAACAACTCGAAAATTAAATATCTCGAAAGTCCGAATTGGAAGAAATTGCATGCTAAAACCAGAATGAAATTTTCGAGATAGTGAACTTTTCGCGATGTTTTTTCGAGATGTTCATTTTCAAGATCGGAAATCGTTTAAAGTCCGCAACAATACAGCCTACAAAAGCACGCACGAGTTCGCATCCATGGAGACCCCAAGCCGTAATGCGGCCAACGCCTGGATTATATCTGGGGAGCAAGTCGATGGTCAGCCCAATCAGGTCCACATTGTATCGCAGGATGACATCTGGAATTTCTGAGGCTGCAAAATTGGTATTCCAAAAATATTTGCGATTTAGGATCTAAAAAACCTTATCTCAATTTAATCGTGTTGTTTCATTGGCTGAAAATGTGATACGGGACCCAGTCTACTTGCACAGAATTTTTGGCCGTTTCCGGATCTGTTTTGGAAAATTGCGGGAAAGCCCTCATTCCAAAGTTAGGGCTGTTTTTGTGGTCATCGGGTAACGGGGGCGGGGTAATCAAAGTTTTTGTTAATCAAAATATTTTTTAATATGGTTTTTCGACCTATAAAAAAGCGCTTACAATTAGTTTATTTTTTTGGCCATGTATCCAATGACATTTTCAAAATTTCGAAAATATTCACAACGCCGAAAATATGTCTCCTCGCCGTTTTCCTATGTGCTGCCCATCGATTTTGATCTTGTTTATTCGATAAAAAAATGCCTATTACATTGTCTCGGGTTTTTTTGGGCGCTCTATCAAATGACATTGGCGATATCCTACAGTAAGTACAAATTTTATAATAATGAGCGCCGCGCTATTATCCCCCCAACCGTCCCCTATGCGTACCGTTTTCGTTAAAAATTGTCCCAAGATAGTAGAGAAAACGCCGTAACTTTTGAAACGGGTTTTTCCAAAAATTTGGCGAATAAGCAGCGGAATCAGCGCAAAATTCTATACAAGCCGGGCTACGCCGCTAATATTTCCAACCTATGTGAAAACACTGTACAGTCAGATACTTACCGTCCACCAAAACCAAAGCCTCGATCAAAAAAAAGTCCAATTGGTTTGGAACCGGAAACACCCTTGTCGCTATCCGGTTAATAGGCCCCTCGACGCTCCCCTTGATGGGTAGTGGCACGGAATCAATCTGGAATTAGATGATAAAAATAGATGATAGTCAGTCAGGTGGCATACAAATCCTATCGTTGACCGGAAGAAATACAACCGGGTATGGGAGAGCAGCAAGATCAGTTGGCCGTGAACTTTCAAATCCCAGCCGTCGATCGAATCGGAGTCCGGCTGAAGTTTTTTTATGAGAAATGTCCGAATGTAGTCTACCTCCCCCAGATGTGATCTACGAGATGGCCATACTTTCAAAATTAGTTTTTTTTTGGTTAGAAAACCTCTGCTATACATTTTTCATCATGAAAATAATCCGCTTAGTACATTTCTTGAAGTTCTATCAGTTAGCATCTTCAAAATACCCAAAAAAATTTTACAAATTTGGCTTTCCCCTTTATCCTATGATCTATGTAATTTGTAATTAATTAATAAGGTAATCTTATAATCTGGCAACTCCGTTTTAAAGCTTTTCGTCATAAAACGCTTGCCGCATCATCAACAATGGATGTTTAGTTAGGTCGATTACCACTGGAATCCGTCAAAAAAGATAATATTTTTCCTACAAGCTTTCGAAAAACAAATCGACCCCTCTAGAGGCCGGAGAACGGTCGGATCGGGATGATTTTTACACCATTCGAAAGCCCTGAAACCGCCCAGCAAACAAACGCTTTTCGTATTACACAATTTTAGCCAGCGCGCGATATTCAACGATGTCTTAAAAAGTGCAAAATCAGCGTTATCCTGTTAGCTTTATAAGGCCCTTAACATGCTGATTTTGCCAAAAATCGGCAGTTTTCATGGATTCCGCTCCTAAAATCAGCGAATCAAGATGGGTATCTTGAACAACGAAAGTGCTGTTTTCTCGCCTTTCCGAAAGCTTTCGATAGTTACCTAAATTGTCAAAACCGCACCGCTAAAGGAGCCGGGTTTTTTTCGGGACACCCTGTATAACTCAAAAACTACTGTCGCTCCGGGGCTGTGAGTGGGGATTATGGTTATTTAGGGTAAGATCCACCTTTGCCGGATGTTCAGGCCGATGGGATGCAAGAAGGCCAAATGCCAAATACCACTGTTTGGGACACATGTACCAATTGAGTACTTCACCATTTAACCAACCTTTGGAAACTCCAAGGAAGTGCTCTTGCCTTCAAAACACGCCACAATAACATTTGTGCCCTCCTCGTACAGCATGGTCACCTTCTTCACCCGCTCGTACGCCGTCAGATAGCGGTTCATTCCCGCGTTCCTCGGCCCGCGTAGCTAAATACAGAGCGTTGAACTGACGCAGTCTGTGAAAGTGAAACTCTTCGCTTTATTTGACACTGCTACGTCGAAAGCCGCCCGCAAAATATTATAAAACTAGCAGCAATATCGAAAATTTTGAGACCTCCGAAAAACGTCAAAAAATGAAAACTAGCAGTTCAACCTGTTTCAAAAGGGATTTTTTTTGCTATTACTTTTGAATAAAAACATTATTGGAACTGAACATACAGTTCTTCGTATGTTTTGCGGAGCTCTATCGGACAGCCTCCAAATAAAGCCTAATAAATGCGAAAAATTCAAGTTCAAGTCAAGACCCGCTTGGTTTTAATCATCGACCAGACCAAAAAAAACTGCGCTTACCGCCAGCTTCATTGAAAGCAAATCCGGATCGCCAGCGTTAAAAAACCACTTAGAACATGCATCCAGGGTTTTTGGAAGCTGCGTATCCCCTTCTATTTGGGCGACACAGACCATCTTCCAGTTTTCGGGCAGCCTAAGGAAGCATTTACGGTAGGCGGTGGCTAAGATACTCTTCTTCCAACATTTTCTGGCAATTTTTCAACTTTCTTTCTCTCTCTCTCTCTCTCGTTCTATAGCTCTCTCTCTCCGCCACTCTCTCTCTCTCTCTCTCTCTCTCTCTCTCTCTCTTGTTCTCTTTCTCTCTCTCCGCCATCTATTTCACACTTTTTCGAGATATAGTATTTTGAAATTTCCAAGAATTTTATTTGATGCAAAAGCCAGATATTGAAAACAAAATTAAAGCACCAAATGACCCGAAGTGAAAGGTGCTTGAATTTTTTTAGTGGGTTTATTGGTGAAAAGTTGGCTTTCTAAAATTCCTCAAATATGGAGAGCAAAACCCACGCTTTCCAGTGACCAAAAATATAAGCGAAAAGGGAGCTGAGGCGTAAAACGGCATATTTCAGAGCACGCGTATGCAGAAATACAATGGCGTCTGAATGCCTTATTTTAACCATTAAAATTAAAAAACCTTTTTCATCCGGCAACAAATCTGTTTGGATCTGCACGATATCTTCGCCTCGATCGAACACGGGAAACAGATATTGGGTGCCAGGGGTTTGCGGCAGGTGAGGGGCGGAAGCACGAATTGGGATTAGCTCGATGCGGTGGCCGATCGCTAGAATTCATTAAGTAAGATCCCTATAGAAGCAATAAACTGGATTTAAGCAACCCAAAGTCAAGAGTTAAGGCCTAGACTTGGGATTAGGCGTGGGGTTAGGTTTGAACCTGGGGCTGAGGCTGAGGCTGAGATTTAGGCTTAGGTGAAGCTTAGGCTTAGGCTTGGCTTGGTCATAGGCTTAGCCTTGGGCTTGAGCTTGGGCTTGGGCTTGGGCTTGTGCTTAGGCTTAGGCTTAGGATTATGCCTAGGTTTAGGCGTAGGCGCCGGCTTGGACCCGGGCTTACGCCTGGGCTTTGGCTTAGGCCTAGGTTAACAAAGGGTAGTCTTGGGTCCCAACTGTCATCTCCCGGTAAAAATACAACTCTCCAAAAATAAATTTTTAAATCAATAAACTAGGGTTCGACAGAACGCCCAGATTATGCTCCCTGTTGCCATAATAAAAATTTTATTTCAGGCCCTTTTCAGTTAAAGTTCAAAATTTAGGGTGGTTTTTTGATGCTCTATCAAATTGTCTTTTCAAAATAGCCATAAATAGCGAAAATGTTGACGATAGCTTACATCCCCATCTTCAAAAATCATTTCTGTGTTGCTCTCACTTTTTTGAATTGCGTTATTTTGAGCTGCTCATAAAACTATTCAAAAATCAAAATCAAAATGGAAAACCTCGAACCTGCGATTATATAGTTCTTTCCGCAGAATTTCAACTCCATAATCGCGCTCCTGGGAGATTGGGTCGGCGGATAAAATGTGGGCGCCGAGCGTCGTGGTCGAGAATCCATTTTTTCTAGATTTAACGTAAATAATTGGTAATTATAAATAAAGATACAATAAACGGTAATTTTTCCTTAAATGGGGGATGAGGCGGCGCATTTGTCTGATTCCCCCAAAGCATTCCTCGCGTAAGCAAATCCCCAGAATGAGTCATCGGGCCCTTGCAAAGGGCAAAACATGTGCTTCGGAACCTTTCGAAGAAAACCTACGCGCTAGGTTGTTTTCAAATGTCAAAAAAAAGATAAATTGAAAGCAAAACCGGCAAATTAAATCGAGAAAAGCATCCGCTAAAATGGAGATAGGATCAAAATTCGTGTTTTGTTGCGAAATTCAGACTAAATTAAAAATTGACACGTTGCCACATGTTTTTGAATTTCTGCGCCCCCCCCCCCCGAAACTTATCTGCCCCCCCCCCCCCCGAAATTTCGGGGGAACTACGGGCCTGCCCGGTGGGGCCCAAGTATAATTAAACGGGCGGTCTCCCCATGCGAATGCTTCTCATATCAACGCAGATGTCATACCTATGCCATTTCAGGGGAGCCGAAGTCGGAAGCCGGAAGGGTGTAGTAGCAAGTGCCCATTTCAGCAGTGAGAACTTGGCATTTAAAGAACAGTGAAAGATAAAGAAAATGAAGCAACAAATTCTACGGATTTTGCAGTTGTTTTTCCTAGCCAATAATATGGCCCAAAACGCGGGCCACAAACGATTGATTAGAACTTGATTGAGTTACAGGAGAAAATGTAAAGCTAAAGAAAGCCAAAAAGGTTGAAAGCTCCATACTGGTATTTTTATACATTTTTTACATCATTTCAGCCGGCATCCCACGGAATTTTTTAGACCTTTTTCTATATGAATTTAGACCTTTCTCCTACATGATAAGAAATTATTTCAATGTGCTACTTATTTGAAGGAGTGAGGCTTCTCTTGAGCCCCTAAGCTTTTCTTTTAAGCTTGTTTATCTACGCAAATCGTCTATAAATAGGCTTTATTAGGCAGGATTTTCGAACCGTAAATCATCAGGGACCAACACCAGAATATGCATTGGAAGGTAGTAAGGGGGCAAGAGATGCATGAGCCACAGGCAAGAGTGAGCAATATACAAAATTTAAAGCATAATTAGGTTTTCTTCTCGGTGAGGCATCTGCACGCGCGTACGATTTGTAGATGATCTTCGTTGTACAGAATTGCATGATTTCTAAAAAAAATTAATCGTGACCCCGGAAGTTTTACCGTAAGATCGGTGCCCATTTCTCGAATTTGGCTTGCGTGGCCCTTGCTGTTAGGCATTTATCTGGGAAGAAATTCTAAAAAATAATTTACTTTAGAAACGCCATTTAAAATTACGGGGCTCCCATTAGATTTTTTGGCCAACAGCCAACCAAATTCACCATCTTTTTTGTGGAGGAAGAAGGTCGGGCCTGGAACAAAATATTTAGATTTCGGCAATTTTACATTATCGGGGAGGGGGATTTCCCCGAATTTCTAATGTTTTTAAATAAATATATCAATGGTTTTAAATTTCATTTTATAAAGACATGTTTTGCTCAAAAATCAAAAAATAACGATTTTCGTCCAAAATTTCGAATTTTTGAAAGGAGCTTAAGATTTTTTGGATAGTTTTGCGCTTCTAATAGATTTTCGATTTACCACAATTTAAAAGCAGCAAAAAACCTTTCGATTCTGTTAATAAACTTCTGATCGTATGCAAACAAACGAACAAAACGACAACGAAAGAGAACAAGACGAAACGAACATAAGACTTCGCCCCACCTCCCCCGATAATGCGAAAGAAACTAGATTTCAAAAAAATCAAAGGTTACCAAATCAAATCAAAGGGGCTATTAGTAATTTTCCAAACCTAAAATCTGATTAATACGAATCCGATAAAAACAGAAAGCCCTACCACCATCCGCTTCGATCGTACTCGCCCGTTGCAACATTGCGTCGACCATGCGTGTTTTTACCGTATAATAGGTATCCTGCCACCGCAACTAAATTAAACTTTTCAGTTTGACGTCTTTCAATCGTACCGAATATAATTTTCCGCGATCTTCAATTGCCTCAAACGCGGCCACCTCTTTGACAAATTCGAAGGACTCGCTTTCTAAGTCCCAGACACCGAATTTCTATAAAAAATTGTCATGAACGTTTGAAAATTCCTACGAATCTCGTTGGGTTCGCGGCGATTGGACAGTAAACTTCTAAAGTTGGCTCACCGTCCGGGTTGCGTTTGAGCAGCAGCTGAAATTGTTATTCAAAGCAAATCAGGGGATGGAGGTGCATATAAATGGAGAAGGAACTTTCTTAAACGGGAGCGCGGAGCCCTGTACGTTCGAGGTCTCTGTACGCCCAAAGCGCGCAAAGCGCGCAAATTTGAATTTCCCCATCGTGACTTCCAGGACCCCTGCTCTGCGTTTTCGGAGCCAAATCGGTGATTAAAAGACCAAAGTTATTCAGAATTCTTTGAGGATTGCAGAAAACAGGTCAGAGTCTGCGAATTATAGTGTTCTCACGACCAAATCGAAGAACGGCTATCGCCACGTCCTGATCTCGGTCTCGTCCCGCGTGAAACGCTGACAATTAGCCAGAAATCAAAGAGCCCTCCCAAACGGGGTTTTAGGCTTAGGCTCACACTTCAGCCCCGCGTTAAGCAAATCTGATACCTTAAATTGTTGCCCCGGTTCGAACGAGCCTGGGCATTGCACGCGCTCATCGTCGTGGATGTATGGCTCCGTTTGCCTCACGTTGACGCAGATTTTTCTAAAGCGAAGGCCTCAATATGAAAACTGTTAGAAGCTAATTGCTCTCGATGCTCCAACAAATGCACTGTCGAAGGCTGATCTTTGCGCAAAAGCGTAAACGATGGCAAGGCAGACCCAATAAAGTAAACGCCTGCGTTCGTCGGGCTCTGGGCCGCGTAAAATACATGGAAGATGCCTTGTTGGAAATATTCAATCTAAATACATCTTAGCCGACCGTTTGATCAAACCATAGATGGTGGATAGATACTGCAAACGCGCGGTCCGACATGGAAAATGCTTCTGGAAACAATCGCGACTTCCACGTCTTCACGTGGCTGCGGCGGACCAGCAGATCCGCAGGACGGGGCTGTAAGGAAATAAGGTATTTAGTTTTATACAGGACACGGTGTTCCGATAAAAACACCCCCCCCCCCCCCCTTCAACTCGATGGACAAGCATCGGATCGCAATTCATTTGACCATTCGAAGGCTCTTGAAACGGCCAGTTTGCATCAATCTTCAAAACCATGTTTGTAATTAAACAGGTCATTTTACCACCAATTTAAAAACCTTAAAGAACGGTCTCTGCATCTAATTAACGGTCAGCTCCGTCCATTCGCTTCAGAAAATTTAACCAAAATTGGCTCGTATGCAACCCCAAAAAAAATCTTAAAAGCTTATTGTTGCGTTGCTTCGGCTTCGGGCGCCCCCGCCTGTTCCCTTCACTCCCCGTTGCCTTCGCCTGTCCAGTGCCCTGTCACCATAACGGAGCCGCGTCGCGTCTGCGGCGCGCCCGCTCTCCCAACTGGCCCTTCGATGGCATATTTTCCCCGGTTCTACACTCTGATTCCCCAGTATTATTCCTGCTTCACACACAAAACAAAAAAAAACAAAAAACAAACCAAAACCAACACAACCAAACAAAAAAAAAAGAGAAAAAAAACAACAAACACCCACAACCCACCACCCCAAAAAGCAAAAAGACAAGAGGGGGAACAAACAAAACACCAAAAACAAAAAACCACACGCAACCACCACAAACCCAAACCAAAAAAAAGAAAAAAAAAAAACCAAAAAAAAAAAAACAAAAAAAAACCCAAAAAAAAAAAAAAAAAAACAACAAAAACCCCCAAGCCCCAAAAACCCCCCCCCCCAACGACCTAAATTCCGCCTTGCTCATCTGTGTTTTTGAACAAACAGTGGTTGCACTGTTCGCCCAGCTGCGCAACAACCCCGCTCAAGGCACAACACTTAGGTAATGGTTTGTAAAATAAAGCTTTTGGAGAAAAACATAGTTTTGAAGATTGATGCAAACCCGCCGTTGCAAGGTTTTCGAAGGGTGTAACTATCATTCCGATCCGATACGTCTACTTATACTTACGTTAGAGGGGGCTGTTTTTAATGGGATACTCTGTACAAAACAACAACGTAGCCAACTGGTATGAAACAAAAACTTACCATTTGGCTGTCCGCCCAAATAAAATTCCAAAATTTCGACGTCGGCCTGCGTGGCCAGGATTATATATCCTTTGATATGACAAGCGCCAAGGAATTTGTTTTTGTTGGCCTAAAAAGGGCGCTATACAAACCACTTGAAGCCTCTTACTGCCTCATGGACACCTGTAAATGCCACATCAACGCAAGGGTAGCGGGGATAATGCTCATTCACGACCGTTAGTTTCTCTGAAAATTCAGATCAATCAATTATCGTGCACCTTCTCACCGAACTCCGGCTGATACACCATCAACGTTAGCGCCGGTCCGATCGCCGCAATCTGAAAAATCCGACCGGTTCTATTACCTCATTTCCAGCACATATAGCTACTTGGAAATAACCCACCAAGCTAAATCCATGTTCATCTACCGGCCATGTAACAATTTTGTCAACCTTGTGGTTAATCAACGGAGGTTGTAGATGGGTCAACCGAGTTGCTGGGAACCATAGGTTCACCTGGCAAATGCGAGGGCTTCCAAGAAAAAGTTTTTGCATATATACCGTTTTTGAGGTGAAAGAACCGAAGCCGTATTTGATCGTCTGGTATTTCATTTGCAGAGAATAGGTGCCATCACCATCCGGCTCGCGCCTGAAAGATTTTCCTTCCAGGCACCCGCAATAAATCTCACAAATCATAGTAGTACTTCGGCAACCCGGCAAGGCCGCGCAAGTCTGGTTTACAGGAGGTCATGTTGTTATAGTTCTCTTCCAAGTCATAAACTGCCGCTGTCAAAATCTAAAAAGCCATCCGCTATTACGCATTGCAGTACCTTTGTTCCGTCATGACGCGTTCTCTTGGAAAACCCGAAAACCTAAAGTAAAACTTTGGTGTCACTTCCAATTTGCAGCCAACCTGTATGGTAGCGTTGGGCGACCACCGGAATGCGCGCGCTTGAACCATGCCCGGGATACTTCGCCAACGAGTCTGTAGCGCTCCATTTTCATCTAAAAGGAATTTATATAAGGTGTCCCCGAAAAAGTGTGCCCGATTTTTACATTTGGGTATCTATCGAAGGCTCTCGGCGGGATGAGGAGAGATGGTCTTCTTACTTTCGAAACTCCGTTACCTAACAAAATGTCAGGTTTTGGGCTTTCGTTTCCAGCGCCCAACGGCTTAGCGGGCCTTGGCGGCGCAAGGAAAGCGGCTAGCATGAGAAATTTTGCTTTACCCGTTAACTCGATTGATCCTTCGGCATCCCCTTCCCGCGTCCGACCGCGTGCGCGCTTGCAGGACGGCTCAAGAATAAGGGGAGAATTGTTAGTACTTTCGAACATTATGCAAATTAGGCGTCCTGGCCCCCAAAAATGAGTAAATCCGGCTTTAACTTTGAAAATTATATTTTCCCAAAATTCTCAAAATGCCATTGAAAGAGGAGGAGAGGGCCGATTCCTCCCACTCCACGGAAAATCAAAGCGATTTATCCCCGACGCATTTTCCTGAACATTCGTGCATACGAAAGAAACATCCATGCACTCCCAGGTTTTCCAGTTTAAAAACCAAAAAGAATGAAAAATATTGCTAGAACGAGAGTTCGATAAACGCACGTGGGTAATGAGGCGACACGAGTCCCCATCTGTAGTAAACCACATAGCCACATTCAAGCAGGACCAGAATCTCGCGATCGTTTGGCGCGATAAAGTCGACAATTTTTCGTTTTCGCCCTTTGTCGCTGGCTAATGGAATTCGTGGGCCGCGCGGCAACCTGAAATGGGTTGGGTTGGATAATTCAAACAGCGCCTATATTATCAAAATGGATCGAGCAGTAACTGAACTAGCTGGCAAATCCTTACCTATAACGGCCCTCGATGAACGTCTCGATCTCATGGAACTTGTATGTGTTCGTAGTGCTCTCCATCAAGAAATAATGACTTAATTTTGGGACTAAAAATTAAAAATGTTAAAAATACTTGGTGACCACGACGATACGGTTAGTCATCACTGTCAGCAGAAATCCCGCTTTTATAACGGGAACGTTGGCGAGTCTGAAATAGTGGAGGACTTCGAGTGAGCCTAACAAAAAAAGGTTTTGAGTTACTTTTGGAGTTTTAATATGTCGCATGCCTTTTCAATAGTGCTGCAAATCCTGAACAGAACGGATTTTTTTCGTAAACTGCTGAACGATAAAGGTCTTCGTGAAAAAGCTTATCAATTTTGACAACTTGGGAAGTGCAGGCAAAAATCGAGAAATTTTTTTCATCGCCAATCCAAAAACGGTCACTTGTAAGCCTATTCCGCAAACCAAAGCCTACGCCAAAAACATAGCAAACTAGCGAAATAAAATAAATTGAAAACACTCACACAGTTTCTCCTTGCAAGCCGTGCAGCAGACGGCGTTGCGGGTTAACTTCGCCCCGATCCAATAGGGGTCTTCCGTGCACGCCGTAAACCTTAAACAGTTTTTCATGAAGCTTGTTTGTTGCCCACCTTGATTGAACAGGTCCGGAGATCCGTAACGATGAAGCAAGACCCATCAGATTTACTTCTGAAATTCCTTGAGTTTGCGCGCTAGAAGCCATTTACCGAAAAACTTCGTCGGTTGAGCCCCAGTTGAAGCTGATGCTATAGCGGAGGGCTGGATTGTAGGGCAGCGTGGCGATTTGCGTCGGCTTGACTTGCACTGGCGGCCAGCCTAGGGGTTTTTTTGGTTTTGACGACTTTCACAATTGTTTTGGGGGGATTGCAATGAAATCAAAAAGTCACGGAATATCTTCTGATGTTGAGCGTGCCCCAAAAAACCCGCCACCTAGCGGCCCGCAGTCGTGTCGGATTTGTACGATTTAGGCATCTATCGAAAGCTCTCGAAAAGCTGAGGAGGATTTGCGCGCATAATTTCGAAATTCCGGAGCTTTTCTTACAATTATCATTATTTTTGCAAAATGGACCGAAATTCTGATGCTCCTAGCTTTCTCGCAAATCCACAATTTATGAGCCTTCACGCCTTTTGCGCAGCCCAAGGACAGCTTTGTTAAAGCGCACATTCAGGGAGGGGCCGTGTACTCGGCCCAACGTGTACACCCTATGGACGTAGAGACCGCGCGCACTGTCTGCTCGTGCCGTGGGAGGCAATACCCGTCCTTTCCTGGGTGGGGCGCCCCTCGCCCTCCCGCCAGCTTGCACCTGGATGACTGGTATCCGAACCCGAACAGCAGGCCCGGGTTCGACCCCCGGCCGCGGCGAAGATCTTTGCTTTCTTGCCAAAAAACGTCCCTGAACGTGCCCTTTAAGGCCAGTTGAAAAAACACGGGCGCCAGCCAGGGGCAGGAACCAGGAAGACGGCGGACCGGAAGAAACAGGGGAACAACCCCCGGCTGGTAAAACCAGCATGCCCCCGCGGCTAGGAGGGGGGTTTTTGGGACCCTTGGATGGCTCTCAACCGACTTTCGTTTTGAAAGTTTTACACCGCTAGGCACAAAAGCTTGATACCCTAACTAAAGAATGAGTCCAAAACGGAACGTACAATTTTCAGCCTTTATATCCGCTTCGACATAGTCGACCTTGTTGTCGTTCCTCAGAATCAGGTAGCGACCCAACGCTGGATTGCTGTCCAGGAATGAAACGTAAGGTCCTGGTGGCAGATTTGGCGCGACGAAACCGAAGTCATTTTCGCGGTACTGGACGAGGTGTCTAATTTGGGATTACTTGACAAAGCTTTCTAGCAAACCCGTTGTGCAAGCAGATTCGACAGCCCGGTATCGACGTCGAAATAAGCTAAAGGGAACGGCTTTGATTGTTTTACGATTTTCGATCGACTGCCGAGGCTTAGGCTTACTAGGGAAGTGCAAATAAAAAATCCGGAAAATCGCTTGCAAAAATATGGGTCTGATAGAGTCGACGACGGGGATTCCGAATCTCTTGTAAAAATTTGCAAAACGCTTAATACAAAAAAGTTATGAGCATTTTAAGTCTTTACTCTTTGGGAGGGGCCCATAAAGGAGGGAGGAATCAGTGCTGCAAAACTAGTTCATGAGCAACCTGAGCAATCTCTTCCTTACGGAGCTCGGGCACCGGCAGCTCAAGATGACGGTCAATCAATTCGGGTTTTGGCTTGGCCTTCCTGTCCAAGCGCGCGATTCCATTAGCCCCGGCCACACACTAAAGTTTATGGTTTTACGTTGTTGTAATTCGTATTTATCCACTGATCGTGAATGAGTACCTCATGCCAGGGGTCCCAGGCGGTAATCCTGCCAAGGCACGGGCTGTATTGATGGAGAATATATATCTGGTTGTTTAACCGGTCCACCAAGTAGCGCAGTATCATATCTGAAAATGGAATGATTTGTTCTCCAATTTTTTTTGTCTACATGGTGTCTGAAGCGTCTGTTTTTTACGATTTTTGTAGTTATCGAAAGTTGTAGGCGAGCGGAGGGATTTTTCCGATCCCGAACTTTTGGCTCGATTTTCGACACTTTTGCTGCCAAGAAAACACGTTTTTCAAGATAAAAATCAACTTAATCGTTTTAGGTGCATCTCGGCTGTGTTTTCTCAAATGGCTTTTAAAAAGTTGGGCCCTCGCAAAAAAAACGTGAAAATTCAGGATTTGTGATTTTGTAAGAAACCCGGTTGATCGGAGAAGCATCAAAAAATTCGGTCAGTTTCCAAAAAAAATATTGGTTTATGTAAATAAATGGAATTTGGATAACCGGAAAGGACATTTCTCCTCAGTGTTTCTCCCCCTCTAGCCTGTAAGAGCCTTATTTAACTCCTCAGATTTCCTTTTTCTTGGGACACGCTGTATCAGTCAATGTTTTCCTAAATATCATAGATCCTACCATCAACCACTACCAAGAGATCCGTGTACGGTTCATTTCTCGTTCTATGATTAACCGCTTCCATTCGGTGATAGGGACCAGCTTCTGCAGATCCTTTGATTGGCAGCTCCAAGTAAGTAACCTAAACCCTTCTTTCTTGTATTTGTATGTACTTTTATACCTTTCCAGATTTTTCGTTAAAGTAGTACAAGCGTTCCAGCGTCAGCAGGTAGATGTCACCACAGCACATTTTTAAATCCCATCCATCAAATTGATCACCTTCAACCTGAAGGACTATGATATCCAAAAAAATTATCTACAGCATAAAGAACAGCGGAGTATTAGGTAAGTTAACGCAAAATTTGTAAAGCCCGAAAATTTTGGCTTGATGAAATATGATAACGTATTTCCTCCAATAAAATCCGGGGTTCTATTTTTTTCAATCATATCAGCGGAGGGGTTGTATTAGAGGAAAAAATATATTTTTCGTGATTTTGAGCAATTACAACGATTTCTAGAAGTTCAAACTGCCCACACCAATCAATCAGGAACACAGTACAAAGCTTAAACAAAAACGTTATTCGCATTTTTTTACGTCTTCAACGCTACTTTGGGGAAAAATTCGGGGGGGGGGAGAAGCACGATAGAGCAAATACGGTAGCTCCAAAGCTACATATTACAGCTAGCCCATGATCTTACTATCATACATACCTTTGGAAAATGGAATCGTTGCCTATCCATGCCGTAGATCCGCTCCACGAAATTGGTACCTTCAGCATAATAGGCGTTCCAACTGGATAACAAATCCCAATTGCACAAATATCGTCGCTTCTCACGTCTAAAAAATCATGCTTGGCCCTATTTAAATACTTCAATTCCATCATCTCACATATGCCCCGAAAAAGACCTCAACTTACACGTATGAGCTTGCTGAATCCAGTACAATGCATTTAATAGATTTCTCATTGCTCGAAAAAGCCGCGTCTGAGATGACGAAGGATATCGGCCCATAGAACTAAACGCATTGATATTGTCGGTTCTTCGAGGGAATTTATACTATTTACTAATTTTCGCTTACCGATAAGTTGTGCTCGTACGGGTTGTACGTCCATACGGAATTTAGGGCAACATTGTGGAGATCCAGTCGCCCAGGACCGTCTATTTTGTACATATCGACGACGGTCTTCCAGTTTTTCAGTGGCCTGAATCAAGTGAATTCTGATTTTTTGAGAGCCCTTTGGAATTTCGCAATTAGAAAGGATTTTAGCAACAAAAATTGTTTGTGGAAATGATTTTTCCACGCGGCCGTCTTCTATCCGCTGGGATCCGGATTTTCGTCAGCGATGGGTACACGCAAAAATCTGTGCAGCGTAATTTTCAAAGCTAAATACCGTAACACAAAAAAGTTGTGACGAAATAAATGTATATTCTGCCATTTTTACTGAGATTTTGAAGGTTTTTGTTGCCGAAATACTTCGCAAAATCCGAGGACACTTTTTCTAAAAACTCTTTTTTTTTTGCAAAAATTTTGATTTATGAAAACAACGTCGAAGTTGACTTCCTATCAATTTTAATATTCAAAAACAAACCAACTTTCCTATTCTTTTATATAAAAATATTTTTTTTTTTTTTTTTCTTCCCTTTTTCCTTCTTCCCCCCCCCCCCCTGGGGTGGGGTTTCTTTTTTTTTTTATAATTAATTATTTTTTTTTTTTTTTTTTTTAAATTATTTTGGGGTGGGTTGCGGTTTTAAAAATAAAAAAAAAAAAAATTTTTTTTTTTTTTTTTTTTTTTTTTTTTTTATTTTTTTTTTTTTTTTTTTTTTTTAAAAAAAAAAATTCCCCCCGCGTGAAAATAAAAAAAAATTTAAGGGGGGGGGGGTTTTTTTTTTTTTTTTTTTTTTTTTTGGGGAAAATTTATAAAATATATAAAATATTTTGTTTTGTGGGGGGCAGGGGGGGAGAGTTTAAAAGGGGCTTTTTAAAACTTTTTTTTTAAAAAAATTTTTTTTTTTTTTTTTTTTTTTATTTTTTTTTTTGTTTTTTTTAGGTTTTTTCTTTTTTATTATTTAAAAGGGAAAATTATAGGGCATTTTTTTTTATTTTTTTTTTTGGGGTATTGGGGGGGGGACAAAAAAAAAAAATTTTAAAATGAAATTTTTTTTTTTTTTATTTTTTTTTTTTTTAAATTTGGGGGCCTTTTTTTTTTAAAAAAATTTATATAGCGGGCGGGGGGTGAGGTATATTTTTAAAGAGTATGAGAGAGGTTTTTTTTTTTTTTTTTAAAATATATGTAAATTTTAAAAAAATTAAAAAAATTTTTGTTTAAATGGCGAGGGGGGTTTTTTGTCGTCATCATTTAATTTTGTCATGATTCTCACTAGTAGTTATTTTCAGAAACTGCGGAAATCGACTCGAATATTACCATTTTTCGGCAAACTACTCGATATCGGCCTACTAATTGCAAAAACATAGCCAAAACGAATACCAACGTTCCCAAAAATTCGGGGTTTTTTGCGCTAACTCTGTTGCCTTACAATATTTTGCTTAGAAATTTTGGGCGCACATATAGTTGTCTTGCATATCCGTCGCCTGTAAAAATTTGGATCCGCTCGGACCCTTATAAACCGTAAAAACTAACTTGCTACTCCCCAAAAGGCGCTTCTCCACCACCTGCCAGGCCAGCGTGGCATACTTTAAAGAGCGTGTGAATAACATGACCGTAGGCGCTAAAAGGTAAAAATACACTTCTAATCCGAATACTCAACCGAACTCCTCGAGATCATGGCCCGGCCAAAGAACTTGGACTTGCACGATCTCCTCTCCTTGGTCAAAAACCGGAAATAGATGCTGCACGTCCAGCTCGTCCAGCTCCGGATCATCACCGTCGCCGAGTGGAATAATTTCGACGAGATGACCGATTGCTTAATTGAAGGCGTTAGTTGACAAAAGACGTTTTATTTTGTTTCATAGCCAATTTTTGAAGACTTTATGACTTTTTAATCAAAGATGTCGTTATTCCAGGTTTTTATGCCGCTAAAAACCGCGGTATGCTAAAAGAGCCTTTTGTCAATTTGTTGTTAGGAGAATTGGCCTTCGTAGTTCTCTAAATCGGCATTTTTTTTGATTTTACAATGATAAATCGAAAACTAATCAAAATTACCAACCTGACACCAAGTAGCGTCCATTGGCGCTTTCAAAGTCTTGAATTGCAGTCCTAGGTAACCGAGTTGGCGGGCAATATGAAGGTGCAGGTATCCGGTCTTTTGGGTCCATCATTGTACTAAAAGAACTATAAAAGATATAGCTTAAAAGTTTTTGTGGATAGTTTTTTTGAAACAGCAGGCTCCCGTTGTACGTTTGGCGCCTATGGTCCCCGGGGATTGAATGATTTTGTCGCGTAAGCGAATCCCCCAGATAGGGGCCAAGATCCGAGTATTTGTGAATAAAAATTATTAAGAAGACGAACTGCCGGAAATTTAGTAGAATATAAACTTATTTATTAAAACATAACTTAGATGAATTATAATTTAATTACTGTTTTTTATTTTCAAAAACCAGGCCCGAAATCCCAATAAATTCCATTTTTTCCTTTTTTCACAACCATCTCCTTGTTTTCAATTTTGCCAGCTTTTCCCGCAAGCCAATTTTCGCCAACTTTAGCCCCCTGGCGCGGACCGCCGAAAATGGGTTTTCGGGTGCAGCGTGGCGAATAATTCGGAATGGCCCGGTGTGACCCGAGTATAATTAAACGGGCAGACCCCCCACGCGAATGCCTCTCATATCAACGCACATGTCATAAGCCATTTCGGGGAGTAGGAGCCGGAAGCCGGAAGGGTGTATTAGCAATTGTCCATTCCAGCAGTGAGAACTTGGCATTTAAAGGAAGTTGGAGGCAGATAAAACTTGTCGAGGAATTCTGGGAATTTGGTTGCCATTTTCGGTCCGAAATCAAAGCCTAAACGGTTTATTGAAAGCCTTATATTTGTCATCAAATTATTTCGACAAATCCACAGATTAGAAAGCTAGCCTTTTGCATCATTGACAATTTGTCATTTTCTCAGGCGTGTTATAGGCGTAAGAAGCCCATTCTTCTATATTTAGGTATTTTAAATTGGATTTTCCGTAGTTCCGAGGGTTTTCGTATAATAGTTAGTAAGTTAAATTTAAGTTAGTTGTACAAAAAGTTGGAGTTTTCTTTCGGGCGAGCTATTATTTTCTTACTATTTTACAGTTCAAACAGCGCCACTCTACCATCGTGGTAAAGCATTATGGACTTTTGACGTATAAATGGAGCCTAAATTCGAGCTAAAAACTATCAGAAAATGACTTTTGCAAGACGGGGTGACTTCAAAATAAGCC